TATTTCGTATTCTGGCTGCTTTGCCCAAATGTTCTTTATTCTGCTAACGGGAAGCAATGAAGCTTGCATTCTTGCAGCAATGGCCTATGACCGATACGCTGCCATTTGCAAACCCCTCCATTATGTACAAATTATGATCAAAGCATGTTGTAGATGGCTGGTGGGTGGTGCATGGACAACAGGTTTCTCATTTGCCTTGATAAACACCTTTCCTGCTTTGAAGCTGGATTTCTGTGGACCAGATTTTATCAGGGATTTCAGCTGTGAAATTCCATCTGTACTTGCCTTATCTTGCACAGACACACTCTCCAATTGGATAGTATTCCTCATAACTGGTAGTACCGTTGCCATATCTTCACTAAGTCTGATTCTATTTTCCTACATCCACATCATCTCAACTATCCTGAAGCTGAACTCCACAGAAGCAAAGAGAAAAACTTTCTCTACCTGTAGTGCTCACCTTACTGTTGTGATTTTGTATTATAGTTTTGGATGTTTTAGGAATATGAGGCCCAGCTCAGCCTCCTCAATTATTGTGGATGAACTCTTCTCCGTTCAGTATAGCATTTCAACACCCATGCTGAACCCCCTTATCTCCAGCCTGAAAAACAGGGAAGTAAAGGAAACCATCAAAAAGTTAATGGGCTACAAACCCTGAATTTCTTGTATTGTGTAAAATGGCTTGATATAAAGCAAATTGAATACTGTGCAGACAGTGACCTGAGAATTAAGTGTCTTCTTTTAGAAAAGTATTCCAAAGCTTGTTGGTTCATATAGATAAACAGATATGGTCAAATCAAAATAAGTCTATTTCATTTGTATAGTTATAATTTAGTAGGCTTCCTTTTATGAACAATCATCATTCAGATAATCTTTTGAAGTCAGATATTTTTAGAACTATTGTCCATGTATCTTCTACTGATGAGTCTCGTTGAGATGGATGCATAATCTAGCAAAGATTCTCAAAGTTTGTGCTTGTATGACATCCTAAAGTAATAAGTGAATTTGTTTGACCATCCCCAAGAATCATGATATTGATGGTGATGGTGATGATGTCAATGATGTGAACTGCTGCTGGAATAAAACTTTCTCCATTGTTTATCACTATTTGCATGAAGAATTCTGCATGTCACTTGATAAAAAGTGAATATTTATTTTGATGAGACAAATATTTATTAATCTGAACACACACTTTGTTCATTTTATATCATGGAGTCAATCAATCTCACATTAAAGTAATGTAGTTTAGTTTTCCCTCTAAAGAAAGGGGTCTTAATCTTTTTTTTTTTTTTTTTAATACTGTGAGCTCCTCTGAGGGTCTAGTGATATCTAAGGACCCCAATTATGCTCAACTAAAGTCATCAAAATATTTTTTAAAAAATAACAAAAGTGTAACTGTGAAAGTAAAGTTCTTGTTCTTTTTTTCTCATCCAAGTTCATAGACCCTCTAAAATATATTCACAGACCAGCACGAGGTTCACTGAACCCAGGTTAAGGACCCCTGGTCTAAAGACCGTTTGTCCCACTCTATTACACTCCAGAAGCTCAACCCATGATATTGTGTCCCAGTTATATGAGAATGATGGGATCTGAACTTGGAGAAGTTGGAGAAAAGCTGCTTCTGAGGAGTTATTATGATTTTGGTAACTGGCAAACTTTAGTTGCCTGTATCCTGCTGAGCTGAAATTCTTCCAAGGAGATGGAAGATAGAAGGTTGGGCCTTCGA